AAAAAAAAAAAAAAAAAAGTTTCACAGACTTTCCTGCCCAGACTGGCTTTGAACTGAAATCCTCAGATCTCAGCCTCCTGAGTAGCTAGGATTACAAGCTGAGCCACCGGTGTCCTGCTATCCTTTCCTATCTTATCTACCAAGTGCCTTCTAGCAAAGCTGGATGCAAATACAACTGGGCTTAATCTATTATCCAATTAAGTTCTTTATGAAAACAACCACTGTACCAAGCAACAGAAAGAAAACAGTGGAAGAATGTACACATTAAGACATGAAATTTGTTGAGAAGAAATAAGAAAATGGAAATTAAGAATATCACAATACTGCCATAAACATACACACAAAAGAACGTCACAGTATAAGCACTTATGCTTACTCACAGACACTGCAAAGCACAAAAGACTTCCTGTGAATAAGAATTCTCATGGCATTCAACAATAAGACATGGAAAACATTACAAATATAATTTCTCTCTAAAAATGAGTAACAAAATAATACCCAACCTTTCCCTATTGTACTAGATGATGTCATTAACGTGAATGCACTGACCTCTAACTCCTTCTCATCAAATGTCTTCAGCAGATGTTGCGGGATTACTTCATTAAATCCTTTCTGCAGGGCTAGGAATTGCGCCTCAATGCCTCGTAGAAATCTCCAGTTCACATAGAGCCTGTAAACATTGGGCAGGGTTCCATTTCATCACATATATTCAGATTTGATCATTACTATGGGTCTCTAAATTAGTAACATTACACTTTACAAGCATGTAGCATCAAGAATTTAGTCTACTGGGACTGGCATGTAGCTCATGGTACAGTGTTTGCCTAAAATGTATAAGATCCAGTGGTCAATCACTCCAAATGAGGGGGAAAAAAAAAAGAAAAGAAAAAAGGAGGAGGCATCAAAAACAGAGGGGAAAAGAAGGAAAAAGAAAATCACACTGAGGAATACAAAAGACTTTAGTAGCTGGGAAGCCAGTGGCTCACACCTGTAATCGTAGTTACTCAGGAGGCGGAGATCTGAGGATCATAGTTTGAAGCCAGCCCAGGCAAGAAAGTCCATGAGACTCTTATTTCCAATAAACTACTCAAAAAAGCCAGAAATGGTGCTATGGCTCAAGTGGTAGAGCACTCATCTTGAGCAAAAGTTCAGGTACAGCACCCAGGCCCAGAGTGAAGCCCCAGAACCAGGGAAAAAAAAGTAGTACCTAAAAGTCTCAATCTAACGGGAAGAAGTGGTCTCTGAGCTATAAGGTAGCTTAATAAAGATAAAAAGCAGTAGCCTTCCACCACCAAAAGCCGACTCAGCAAGTAACTCTTCAAATCAGAGTAACTCCTGGTACTAAATATAATAGCACTTATAAGGGTCACAAGTTAAAATTCTATCGGCTAAGAATGCACTAATATGTGCTTAACATGTGAAAGGCCCTAAATTTAGTATCTATCCTAAAAAAAAAGAGAGAGAGAAAAGTAGTGAAGTCTTCCTAAACTACAATATATATGACAATAAGAATAAAAATGACTTTTTTTTTGCTTTATTTGGAAGTACTGGAACTTGTTGGTAATTTGTCTATGTTTGGAGAAGGATTACAGAGAAGAGAAGGTTGAAAACAGTAATATCCAAAATGAGAAGAATATAGTAAAAGACAAGAGTAACACTTTTGAATACTTCCTGGAAGCTATAGAAAATATGGAAGATATATCACCAAGAAAAAGTGTACTAAGTTCCATGTTTTCTTCTTTTCTTGTTCTTGAGACAAGTCTTACTATGCAACACAGGCTAGCCTTGAACTCCCAATTCTTCTGCCTCAGCCTCCTGAGTACTTTTACTTTTGCTTTGACTAGAACTTATCCTCCATAAAGAAACTGCTTTCATTTGTCTACCCATAAAAACTCTGCAACTTACACATCTGTCAAGTTTGTTACCAACATTTCCTTTTCTGAACAAGCAGAAATAGTTCTCTACTTTAATAGAATACGTTATTAACACATTCCTTGGCGCATCTCACTGTTATTTGTTGGTTTAAAGGGAGAGCAAAACACCAGGACTCTTTATCTCACACTTGCAGTTGTCCAAGGAAGTGAGTGGGGAAATTCCTAGTCATTCTTGTCTTTTAATTAGGAATGTAATACACTCTTGCTACTATATATATATATATATATATATATATATAAAGAAAATCAAGCATTAACTGTAGAGACAGTGTCTTTTGCCCTATTCCTAACCACCACCTTTGCTTCCTCCTCTAGGCAAACAGTCTTCTTAAATATCTTCACGCTAACTGTAAAACAATATAAACTTTGTTTCTACATAATTCTTCTAGGACATGGTTTTATTTTTTTTTTATTTTTTTTTTGGTTGGTCATGGGGCTTGAACTCTGCGCCTGGGCGCTGTCCCTCAGCTCTTCAGCTCAAGGCAAGCGCTCTACCGCTTGAGCCACAGTGCCACTTCCAGTTATCTAGTGGTTTATTGGAGATAAGAGTCTCACGGAGTTTCCTGCCAGGGCTGGCTTTGAACCGCAATCCTTAGATCTCAGCCTCCTGAGTAGCTAGGATTACAGGCCTGAGCCACCAGCGCCCGGCCAGGACTTGGTTTTAAACTTGATCATTTACATAGCTTATTTTTGCAAACCACCACATAATGTACATTTTGTTTGCTCTGAAAATAATTTTGTAGTTCATTTTCTACAAATAATATTGAACTGATCATCCTTAATTATATTATGTTTTTTTTCTGTAAAAGCGTCCTGAAACTGCCACTGAGCTATCTAGCTGAGACCTCACATACATGAAATGAAGAGGCCATCTTGGCCTTTTTCAATCCTAGTTGCCAACTCTACTGTTCTCTACTCAAGATTACTGATCCTGGGCTGGGAAGGTGGCTCAGTGGTAGAGCGCTTGCCTTGCATGCCTGAGGCCCTGGGTTCGATTCCTTAGCAGCACATAAGCAAAAAGAAAAAAGCCGGAAGTGGTGCTGTGACTCAAGTGGTAGAGCGCTAGCCTTGAGTTGAAGAGCTGAGGGACAGTGCTCAGGTCCCACGACCGGACCCAAAAAAAAAAAAAAATTAAGGATCCCTGGAAATGTTTAAAAAAAAAAACACAGGCACTTATTTATTATTTTTTTTATTTTGCCAGTCCTGGGGTTTGAACTCAAGGCCTGGGCACTGTCCCTGAGCTTCCTTTGCTCAAGATAAGCACTCCGCCACTTCAGCCACAGTGCCACTTCTGGCTTTTTTTTTTTCTTTTTTGGGGGGATCCAGTTGTGGGGCCTTGAACTCAGGGCCTGGGCGCTGTCCCTCAGCTCCTCAGCTCAAGGCTAGCGCTCTACCACTTGAGCCACAGCGCCACTTCCGGCTTTTTCCTTTTTGCTTATGTGGTGCTGAGGAATCGAACCCAGGGCCTCATGCATGCAAAGCAAGCACTCTACCACTGAGCCATCTTCCCAGCCCCTTCTGGCTTTTTTCTCTACTAAAGAATTGAACCCAGGACTTCATACATGCTAGGTAAGCACTCTACCACTAAGCCCCAAGTGGTTGTTTTTAAGCTATTAATTTCCATAGTAGCTTATTTTGTAGCAGTTAAGATTACCTAAAAATTTGAATATACCTCCCCATTGACAACCTAGAACATTTATTAAATGTTCTGAATTATGATAATGTAAAAGTGTTTACCTGACATATTCTTTTTTATTTTCTTCTGTAACAGGGATACTTTTGCCATTTGGTTTAAGTTCATGCTGAATAATTTCACCATATGCATTATGTTCAACACAGAAGGTATGATCCAAAACACCTGTAATATCATTTTCACTAGGAAAAAGAAAAAAATATGTAAGTGAGCCTTAAACAACAGACACTACAGGTGTGTTAGTAGGTGAACCAGATTCAGCTAATTTTTTTTTTTGTCGGTCGTGGGGATTGAACTCAGCTTGGGCGCTTTCCCTACACTCTTCAGCTCAAGGTGAGCGCTCCACCACTTGAGCCACAGCACCACTTCCGGTTTTCTAGTGGTTAATTGGAGATAAGAGTCTCATGGACTTTCCTGTGTGGACTGGCAGGCAGGCTGTGAACCATGATCCTCAGATCTCAGCCTCCTGAGTAGCTAGGATTACAGGCTTGAGCCACTGGAGCCCAGCTTTAAAATGTTTTATAATTTGACAGTTCCTATGCTATCATCCCACCCTTCCTTGAGCAGAAAAGAGCTTTCCCCTTCAAAAACAAGAGTATATTACTTCCTATGTTCTGAACAAAGCCTTGGACAAAACTGGATTTTGAACTACTACACCTCAAAACTTTAGTTATGTTTGGCCTTCAGACAAAAGGCTCTAACAGAATCTAGCACCCTTGAATGACCAAATAGATCATCTCAGTGAAAACTATGTGGTGAGGTAGGAGGGAAGTGGGGAGAGAAGGGATGGTACAGGATAAACAAAGGAGGCAACAATGCTTGATAAGAAATGTACTCATTACCTTCTGTACAGTATTTTCACAATAAAAAACTTATTTAAAAAAAAAAGTGGTACGTGGCTTTTGTAAAATGAATCATTGAAGCCTGGCACCAGTGGCTCACGCCTGTAATCCTAGCTACTCAGGAGGCTGAGATCTGAGGATCACGGTTCAAAGCCAGCCCAGGCAGGAAAGTCTGTGAGACTCTTATCTCCAATAAAAACCACTAGAAAACCAGAAGTGGTGCCATGGCTCAAGCAGTAGAGCACTCGTCTTGAGCTGAAGAGCTCAGGGACAGGGCCCAAGCCCAGAGTTCAAGCCCCACGACTGACAAAAAAAAAAGAATCACTGACAATTTACCTTCCTAAACAGAATTAATTATTACATTAAACAGACTTAGTTCTTACATTAAAGTATGGCCCAAACTGTCATTACTTCACTAAAAAGCCACTGCAGAAAGGAAAACAGAATCATGTCATTTGCAGGAAAATGGATGCAACTGGAGGCCATCATATTGGATTGGACAGACTAAGCTCAAAAAACAAAGTATATGCTTTCACTCATATGTGAAAGCTGGACCTAAAAGAGATACACATTCATGGGCATGTACAGACAAGCATAAACCCATGTGTGTGTGTGTGTGTGTGTGTATATATATATACACATATATGGATAACCATAGAACATGAAGGACTACTTAGAGAGAAGGGGAAGTGAGGAAAATAAAGAAAGTAACAACTCTGAAATATACTTTAAGAGGGTCTGGGAAGGTGGATCAGTGGTAGAGCCCTTGCCTTGCATGCATGAGGCCCTGGGTTTGATTCCTCAGCACCACATAAGCAAAAAGAAAAAAGCTAGAAGTGGTGCTGTGGCTCAAGTGGTAGAGTTAGCCTTGAGCTGAAGAGCTGAAGGACAGCGCCCAGGCCCAGAGTTCAGGCCCACGAACGGAACCAAAAAAAAAGAAAGAAATTAAGAAAAAAGAAAAAAGCCAGAAGTGGCGCTGTGGCTCAAGTGGTAGAGTGCTAGCCTTGAGCTGAAGAGCTGAGGGATAGCACCCATGTCCAGTATTCAGGCCCCATGACCAGACCCAAAAAAAAAAAAAAAATGATGAAAACAGTATACAGAAGCTCAATGAAAGCTGGCAATCAATAGGCAAAGGGACAAGAAAAGAAAATTAGATTCTGTGGGGGTGGACAGTATTAGGAGGGGTTGAGCTAAGAAGGATGAATATGGTCAAAACAGATAGTTTGCGTTTATGAACACAGAATGAAGGAAAGCTACTGAAATTGTTATGAGAAGCTGAGATCTGAGGTGCTGTGGTTCGAAGCTAACCCAGGCACAAAAGTCCCTGTGAGACTCTTACCTCCAATAAAGTACTCAAAAAAGCCAGAAGTGGTTCTGTGGTTTAAGTGGTAGAGAACTAGCCTTGAGCACAAAGAGGCTCAGGGACAGAGCCCAGGTCCTGAGTTCAAGCCCCAGGACTGGAAAGAAAAAAAAAAGCCATAGCAGCCGAAATTTGTTATTTTATCATGCACTAGAACAGAACTTATATCACATGGAAGAAATCATTACATGCAGTACTCTATAAAACAGTATCCACAGACTGAACATCCCCAATCTGAAAATCCAAAACCTAAAGTTTTCCAAAATCCAAAGCTTTTTCAGTGTTGATATGACATTACCAGTGGAAAATTCCACCCCCAACTTCATGTGATAGCTGGAAGTAAAAAACAGGCTCACTAAAAATATTGTGTGATTATCTTCAGGCTACATGTATATGGTATATGTGCAACAAAAGCCAAGTTTTGTGTCCATACTTGAGTCCTGTCCCCAAGATATCTCAAGTACATACAACTATTCCAAGATATGGGAAAAAGTAAAATATGAAATACTTCTTGTCCCAAGGACTTCAGTAAGAGATAATTTGGACCAGCTTTTTCCCTCATAAAAGTAACTAACATTTTCTAACATTAAAGAATGTAAAATGTTCCTAGCTACTCAGGAGGCTGAGATCTGAGGATCATGATTCAAAGCTAGCCCAGGCAGGAAAGTCTGTGAAACTCTTATCTCCAATAAACCACTAGAAAAACAGAAGTGGCGCTGTGGCTCAAGTGGTAGAGCGCTCGCCTTGAGCTGAAAAGTTGAGGGACAGCACCCAGGCCCAGAGTTCAAGCCCCATGACTGACCAAAAAAAAGAAGTAAATGTAAAGAAAAAACAGAGGAAAGGGGAAAAGTCTTAGGTGGTCCTATCACACAATATTTTCTGTACATACATTTTTTTTAAATTTTAAGTAACCACAATAGTTTTGGATCTAACTGCAATAAACACATAAAAGATTAAATACGTACAGTATCCACACCAAACTGTTATGAAGGTCTGGATCAACTAACTCCATATCATCCAAAGTAATTGATTTCCCAAGCAACTGTTTATAAAAAGGCAATGTGAAACCACCATCGATGTAATGTCCGTGAAACACAGCCATTCCCATTATCCTTCCGACAAAGTGGAAATATGATAAATGCTCCTGAAATTGATAAAAAGTCAAATAAATAACTAAGAAACTATCAAAGAATCTTTTAATAAAAAATACTTAGGCAACATTGATTTTGAGCTTCTTTTTTTTTGCATGCTAGGAGGCTAAGGCAGCCACCAGCCATCATCAGCTAGCTTTTTTTGATAAGTATCAAATTTCTACTCAGTAACTATTCAAATGGAATAGGTTTAGCATATCAAAGGTCAGTAATCTTCAGAAAGTATTTTTCTTTATTTTTTATATTTTTTTGTCAGTTATGGGGCTTGAACTCAGGGCCTGGTACTGTCCCTGAGCTTCTTTGTACTCAAGAATAGCACTCTACCACTTAAGCCACAGCACCACTTCCAGTTTCTGAGTATTGTCTCACGGGAACTTTCCTCCCTGGGCCGGCTTCAAACTGTGATCCTCATATCTCAGCCTTCTGGGTAGCTAAGATTATAGGCATGAGCCACTGGTACCCAGCTCAGAAAGTATTTCTATAAGGCATGCTCAAGATTTTTTCTTGGGGCTGGGAAGATGGCTCAGTGGTAGAGTGCTTGCCTTGCATGCCTGAGGCCTTGGGTTCGATTCCTCAGCACCACATAAGCAAAAAGAAAAAAGCCGGAGGTAGGCGCTATGGCTCAAGTGGTAGAGCTCTGGCCTTGAGCTGAGAAGCAGAAGGACAGCAGGCCTAGAGAGAGTTCAGGCCCATGACTGACAAAAAAAAAAAAAGAAAGAAATTAATCCAAACTACAATCTCATTGCTGCTTCATGAATCTACTTACAGATATCCTGCTCTCTTCCTCTCCTCTCACCTCCTACTGAATCCTTTATTACGGAAGAAAGCTTTCAACCTTAAACACTGCTTCCTTGACCTAACTAGAAATTGAACCTCAAAATTCCACAGACCTGGGCTGGGAAGGTGGCTCAGTGGTAGAGCACTTGCCTTGCATGCCTGAGGCCCTGGGTTCAATTCCTCAGCACCACATAAG